TACACCAGAAGGGAATAAACACCACTTTTGATACACCAGAAGGGAATAAAAACCACTTTTCATACACCAGATGGGAATAAATGCGACTTTTTTACGCCTTCAGTATTTACCCGAAGCTTACTAAAATCTAAGGCATTTGTTTGCGGTATTTCAGGGAGCGGAACGATTGTTAAGTGGTATTGACTATGATTTAACCCCTAGAGTATGATGATTTAACCCCTTGAGTATGATGATTTAACCCCTTGAGGATGATGATTTAACCCCTTGAGTATGATGATTTAACCCCTTGAGTATGATGATTTAACCCCTTGAGTATGATGATTTAACCCCTTGAGGATGATGATTAAACCCCTTGAGGATGATGATTTAACCCCTTGAGTATGATCATTTAACCCCTTGAGTATGATAATTTAACCCCTTTAGTATGATGATTTAACCCCTTGAGTATGATGATTTAACCCCTTGATGATGATGATTTAACCCCTTGAGTATGTTTTAACCCTTTGAGTATGATGATTTAACTTCTTGAGTATGTTGATTTAACCCCTTGAGTATGATGATTTAACTCCTTGAAGAGGATGATTTAACCCCAGTAGTATGATATAACCCTTGAGTATGATGACTTAATCCCTTGCGTATAATGATTTAACCCTTTGAGTATGATGATTTAACCCCAGTAGTATGATATAACCCCTTGAGTATGATTTTTAACCCCTTGAGTATGATTATTTAACCCTTGAGGATGATGATAACTTAACCCCTTGAGTACGATGACTTAACCTCTTGGACATGATGACTTGATAATTTAAAGGGTTATGTCATCGTCCTCAAGGGGTTTAAAAGTAGGTGAGAGAGAGAAAGAGGGGGTGGGGGGGGGTGGCTTAAAAGGAATAGATGAGGTAAATGGGAGAATAAACGAAACAGTAAAAGAAGAGGAGGAGGAGGAAGATAGAGAATGAGGGAACTACGCAAAACTAGGAAGAGAATGAGAGGAGGGTGGGAGGAAGATCAACACAACACAGTGGGTCATTATCTCCTGTGATGAGCTATAAAAACGTCGACTTACTCATAATTAACCCACTCTCTGGCTACAATTATTGCCCTTAATTACCATGGTGACCGTCGATTAAAAAAATATATTTGATTGGATGCCATTGATTTAAAGTTCCTTGTCCAGCGGCGGGTATGAATGATAGTTCGTGTGTGTGTGTGGGGAGAGTTCCTCCGGGTCGGTTGGTGTGATCCTCGACGGGCAGTATTGGGAGGAGAAATTCAGGACATGCTTTTAAGGTTCATTGTGTTGTCCTTTCGTAGTTCATTGCTCGCAGTTTTATATATTACTTTTTTGTTTTCATTGAAGAGAACATACCAGGGGTGAGATAAGCACCCTCCCCTCCCCCACCCCATCCCTCCAATTATTATCGACACTCAGTCCACTCGGAAATGTTTTCACCCGGGTTCCAATCTTACTAAATTTCTATGTCAGGTACCTTGATATGATGACGTGTTTTAATTAGGAAGCTATGACAAGCAACAGTGCTACGATGAACACCGAACAAGAATGGTCTGTGGATTCAACCCCAGTTACTCAAGAGTACAGCAATGGCAGCTCCCAAAACAATGGCAGCTCCCAAAACATAGTTGAGAAGAGGCAGAATCTTCACCTGTATTACACAGGTGAAGAGTGGCAGACTTCTCTCTACCAGCTTGACAAAAACACCATCTCGACGACCCAGGAGGAAGACCCCCTGCTCCACCCACCTGTGATCCCCGAGGTGGACCCACTTATCTTCTCTATGGATTATCTTCCCTTCCTCAGCGATCCTCAGGAGAAGGAGGTAGATGATGAGGAGGAGAAGGAGGTAGATGATGAGGAGAAGGAGGTAGATGATGAGGAGGAGAAGAAGGTAGATGATGAGGAGAAGGAGGTAGATGATGATGAGAAGGAGGTGGATGATGAGGAGGGGAAGGAGGTGGATGATGAGGAGAAGGAGGTAGATGATGATGAGGAGGAGAAGGATGTGGATGATGAGGAGGAGAAGGAGGTAGATGATGAGGAGAAGGAGGTAGATGATGAGGAGGAGAAGGAGGTGGATAATGAGGAGAAGGAGGTAGATGATGATGAGGAGGAGAAGGAGGTGGATGATGAGGAGGAGAAGGAGGTGGATGATGAAGAGGAGGAGAAGAAGGTAGATAAGGAGGAGAAGAAGGTTGATGGTGAGGAGGAGAAGGTTGATGGTGAGGAGGAGAAGGAGGTGGATAATGAGGAGGAGAAGGAGGTGGATGATGAGGAGGAGAAGGAGGTGGATGATGAAGAGGAGGAGAAGAAGGTGGATGATGATGAGGAGGAGGACTTGGAAGTGATAATTCCGACCGTTGAGGAGCAGAGAAGCCTGATCCGGGCCTTGTATTTGAAGGACATCTTCCTCAAGTATGAGGAGGAGTTGCATCGGGTCAGCAAAGACCTACAGCAGTGAAGTATTTTCAACTTGTTTTTCTCTCTTTATTCCTCTATCTGCAGTACTCTGTATCTCATATACTCTAACTAGCATCAGTACACACGGTTTACCTCAGGTTACAGTAATATTTGTTTTTTATATAAATATTTTCATTTTATCTCATACATATTTTCCTCTGTTGATAACCTGTCTGTATGTATGTATGGATATTTTCACCACACTCACTACTACTACTACAGGAAGGTACTACCGCCTGGGAGATATTGGAACCATATATTTTTTTTTTTTTTTTTTTTATTGGGCACCCCCCTACATCCTTGTGTAAGGTGAAGCGCAGAACCGTTTACAGCGCCCAACAGGGAAGCATGCTAAGTTCATGCTTGCCTTTATGTCTCATGAGTAAAGGGCGTAGAAGCCTAAAGAGTCAAGGGCGTAGAAGCCTGAAGAGTCAATGGTTTATGTCACCAAGTTATTGGAAGCTCCAACAACTTGTCCCTGAATACGAATTCGCAACTTTCAACTTACAACAGGTACCTACTTTACTGCTAGGTGAACAGGGACTAATGGGGGCTAGGAAGTATGTCCAAACAACTTCCACCGGCCCGAGAATCGAACCCGTGACATCTTGCTTGCGAGCCAAAGCGATTCCGCTTCTACCACCGGCCCCCCGGAAGCATAATGTATTGTCTAATGGTAAACCTTGCTGCCATATGGCATCACAAAAATTGTGATCTGACTTTCTGCCTTATTTACACACAATTGAAGGGTATCAATTGTTTCTCTGACCAGCACAACATATAAATATTATTTCTCACTATTGATTTTTTTTTTTATTTGTGGTCTATTATTATTATTATTATTATTATTATTATTATTATTATTATTATTATTATTATTTATTATTATTTATTATTATTATTATTATTATTATTATTATTATTATTATTATTATTATTATTATTATTATTATTATTATTATTATTATTATTATTATTATTATTATTATTATTGCTGCTGTTACTGCTGCTGCTGCTGCTGCCGTTCATGCTGCTGTTGCTGCTGCTGCTGCTGCTGCTGCTGCTGTTCATGCTGCTGCTCATGCTGCTGTCTGTTGCTGCTCATGCTGCTGCTGCTCATGCTGCTGCTCATGCTGCTGCTCATGCTGCTGCTGCTCATGCCGCTGCTACTGCTGCTCATGCTGCTGCTCATGCTGCTGCTTACTGCTGCTCATGCCACTGCTGCTGCTGCTCATGCTGCTGCTGTTGCTGCTGCCATGCTGCTGCTCATGTTGCTCTATGTTGCTGCTGCTCATGCTGCTGCTGCTCATGCTGCTGTTGCTGCTGCTGCTGCTGCTGCCGCTGCTGTTGCCACTGCTGCTCATGCTGCTGTTGCTGCTGTTGCTGTTCATGCTGCTGTTGCTGCTCATGTTGCTGCTGCTGCTGCTGCTGCTGCTCATGCTGTTGCCGCTGTTCATGCTGCTGTTGCTGCTCATGCTGCTGTGCTCATGCTGCTGCTGCTGCTGTTGCTGCTCATGTTGCTGCTGCTGCTGTTGCTGCTGTTGCTGTTGCTGTTGCTGCTTTAGCTGCTGCTGCTGCTGCTGTTCATGCTGCTGCTGCTGTTGCTGCTGCTGCTGCTCATGCCGCTGCTGCTGCTGCTGCTGTTGCTGCTGTTGCTGCCGCTGCTGCTGTTCATGCTGTTGCTGCTGCTGCTCATGCTGCTGTTGCTGCTGTTGCTGTTGCTCACATGCTGTTGCTGCATGCTGGGCAGTCTTCATGCTGTTGCTGCTCATGCTGCTGCTGCTCATGCTGCTGTTGCTGCTCATGCTGTTGCTGGTCTGCTGCTGCTGCTCATGCTGTTGCTGTTCATGCTGCTGTTGCCCATGCTGCTGCTGTTGCTGATGCTGCTGCTGCTCATGCTGCTGCTGTTGCTGCTGTTCATGCTGCTGTATGCTGTTGCTCATGCTGCTCTGCTGCTGCCTTCGCTGCCCATGCTGCTGTTGCTCATGCTGCTGCTGCTGTTCTCATGCTGCTGCTGCTGCCGCTGCTGCTGCTGCTCCTGTTGCTGCTGCTGCTGTTGCTGCCTGCGTTGCTGCTGTTGCTGCTCTGCTGCTGCTGCTGCGTTCATGCTGCTGCTGCTGCTGCTGCTGCTGTCTGTTGCTGCTGCCGTTGCTGTTCATGCTGCTGTTGCTGCTGCTGCTCATGCTGCTGCCCGGTTGCTGCTCATGCTGCTGCTGTCTGCTGCTGCTGTTCATGTTGCTGCTGCTGCTGCTGCTGCTGCTGCTGCTGCTCATGCTGCTGCTGTTGCTGCTCGAGTGCTGTTGTTGTTGCTGCTGTTGCTGTTCATGCTGTTGCTGTTGCTGTTGCTGGTTCATGCTGCTGCTGGGTTCATGCTGTTGCTGTGCTGCTGCTGCTGCTGCTGCCTGCCGTTGCTGCTGCTGCCGCTGCTGCTGCTGCTCATGTTGCTGCTGCTCCTCATGCCGCTGTTGCTGGCTCTGTTGCCGCTGCCTGGCGTTGCTGTTGCTGTCCATGCTGCTGTTGCTGTCTATGCTGCTGTTGCTGTCTGCCGTTGCTGCTCATGCTGCTGTTGCTGCTGTTGCTGTTGTTGCTGCTGCTGATGCTGTCTGTCGCTGCTGTTGCCGTTCATGCTGTTGCTGCGTCTTCATGCTGGTTGCCGGTTTTCATGCTGCTGCTGCTGCCCGCGCTGCTGCTGCCCTCATGCTGCTGCTGCTGTTCACGCTGTTGCTGTCTGGCGTTGCTGTTGCTGCTCATCTGTTGCCGTTCATGCTGCTGCTGCTGTTCATGCTGTTGCTGCTCGCGCTGCTGTTGCTGTCTATGCTGTTGCTGCTCATGCTGCTGCTGTCTGCGCCGTTGCTGCCGCTCATGCTGCTGCCGTTCATGCTGCTGCTGCTCATGCTGCTGCTGCTGCCGCCATGCTGTCTCTGCTGCTGCCCTTCATGCTGCCTGGCGCTGCTGCTGTTGCTGCTCATGCTGCTGCTGCTGCTGCTCGCGCTGCTCATGCTGCTGCTGCTGCTGTTCGGCGCTGCTGCTGCTGCTGCCTGCGTTGCTCATGCTGCTGCTCGTTGCTGTTCATGCTGTTCATGCTGCTGTTGCTGTTGTCGCCGCTGCTGCTGTCTTCATGCTGCCCGGCGCTGCTGTCTGCCGCCCATGCTGCTGCGCTGCCGCTGCCAGTTCATGCTGCTCATGCCGTTCATGCCGTTGCTGCTGCCTCATGCTGCTCATGTTGCCGCTGCTGGGTTCATGCTGCTGCTGCTGCTGTCTTCATGCTGCTCATGCTGTTGTTGCTGCTCATGCTGCTGCTCCGCGCTGTTGTTGCTGCTCATGCTGCTGCTTGCCGTTCTGCTGCCCTTATGCTGCTCATGCTGCCGCTGCTGCTGCTGCTCATGCTGCTGCTGCTCCGCGTTGCCATGCTGCCGCTGCTGTTGCTGTTCATGCTGGTTGCTGCTATGATGCTGCCTCGCGCTGCTGCTGCTGCCTGGCGCTGCTGCTGCTGCCCGGCGCTGCCTGGTGTTGCCGCGATGCTGCTGCCTGGCGCTGCTGCCTGCGCTGTCATGCTGTTGCTGCCGCTGCTGCTGCTGCTGCTCATGCTGTCTATGCTGTTGCTGTTGCTGCTGCTCATGCTGGGTTGCTGCTGCTCATGCTGCTGCGTTGCTGCTGCTGCTGCCTCATGCTGCTGTTGCTGCTCATGCTGCTCTGCCGCTGCTGTTGCTGCTGGCGTTGCTGCTGGTTGCTCATGCTTGCTGCTGTTGCTGCTCATGCTGCTGCTGCTGTCATTGCTGCTCATGCTGGCTGTTGCTGCTGCCCGCGCTGCCGCTCGTTCATGCCCATGCTGTTGCTGCGCCTCACGTGCTGTTGCTGCTCATGCTGCCGTTGCTGCTGCTGCTCATGTGCTGCTGCTGGGTTGCCTGCCGCTGCCATGCTGGTTGCTGCTGCCCGTGCTGCTGCTGCTGCCTGGCGCCGGGTTCGGCGCTGCTTGCTGCTGCTGCTGTTCATGCTGGTTGCTGCCGGTCCTGCCGCTTGCTGCTGGGATCATGCTGTTGCTGCTGCTGCTGCCGCTGCTGCTGTTCGCTCCATGCTTGCTGGCTGTTGCTGCCGTTCATGCTGCTGCTGCTGCTGCGTGCTCATGCCGTTGCTGTTCATGCTGCCGCTGCTGCCGGCTCATGCTGCTGCTGCTCGCGTTGCTGCTCTATGCTGTTGCTGCTGCTCATGCTGCTGCTCTCTCATGCTGCTGTTGCTGTCTGGCGCTGTTGCTGGTTGCTGCTGATGCTGCTGCTGTGCTGCTGTGTTCGCTGCTGCTGGGTTGTTGCTGTGCTGCTGCCGTTGCTGGCGGCGGCGGCGGCGGTCTGCTGCTGCTGCGGCTGCGGCGGCTGCTGCTGCGGCGGTGGCTGCGGTTGGCGGCATGCGGCGGTGGCGGCGCGGCGGTGTCGGCGGCTGCTGCTGCTGCGTCTGCTGTTGCTGTTGTGTCTGCTGCTGCTGCTGTTTTGATAGATTATATTCCTACATTCCTGTTTGTTATAGTTTGTGGGTCTCTTGACCACCTGTCGCCGCCCTGATGTGGTGATCACTGATCGTTATATCAATGTAAGAGTCTCCTGAAACCAGGATGTATACACGCCCCATCGCCCTGTGCTGTTCTCTCAAGACTCAAATCAGCTAATGGTACCTTGCTGGTTCCTCCCCGCCACCATACATTCCCTGCTATAACTCAGCTTAGTTGACCTTGCACCGCTCAGGAGCTGTGATTTCCTGGTTTGTGCAGACAACAAGACTCTGCCGTCTATGCTGCTGCTGCTCATGCTGCTCAGTGCTGCTGTTGCTGCTCCTGCGCTGCTGCTGCTGCTGCTGCCCTCATGCCGCTGCTGCTGCTGCTGCTCATGCTGCTGCTGCTGCTGTTGCTGCTCATGCTGCTGCTGCTGCTGCTGCTGCTGCTCATGCTGCTTCATGCTGCTGCTTACCATGCTGTTGCTGCTCATGCTGCTGCTTGCTGCTTCATGCCGCTGCTCATGCTGCTGTTGCTGCTGCTGTTGCTGGGTTGCTGCTGCTGCTGCCAGTTCGCTGTTGCCGCTGCTGTCTGTTGCTGCTGTGTCTGCTGCGGTGGCGGCGGCGGCGGCGGCGGCGGCGGCGGCGGCGGCGGCGGCGGCGGCGGCGGCGGCGGCTGCTGCTGCTGCTGCTGCTGTGACAGATTATATCTTTATATTCTGTTTGTTATAGTTTGTGGGTCTCTTGGAACACTCGTCGCCGCCCCTGGGATGTGGTGATCACTTGACTGTTATACTTAAATGTAGTAAGAGGTCTCCTGGGTATAACCAGGATGGGCCATACAGCCTCTATCGCCCTGTGCTGCCGTTCTCTCAAGACTCAAATCAGGTAATGAGTACTTGTTGTTCCTCCTGCCATCATAACACACCTCGCTAAGTAACTCTCAGCTAGTGCACCTGTAATCGCTCATAGGAGCGATTTTGGTTTGTGCAGGACAATAAGACTCTTGTCGTTGACGCGATGAGTATAATTCGGTCAAAACTAATTTTAGTCGTGGGTGGTCAGGGACGGGAGGGGAGGCTGGTGGTGCAAGTGTAGGCTTTATCTGGTTAATTATACACTCTGAGGTCAACACACTGATGATTTAATAGATTGTATCACCTTGTTGATCTAGGCTGAGGGAGGGAGGGAGGGAGGGAAGAGAGGAAGGAAAGTGGTGAGTCGATTTTATGATTTAATATTGTTGAAGAAATAATTTTATTTTTATTTTTATTTTTATTGCTACAGTCAAACACCAGATATCAAAGGCTGAGCATTGTAGATCTGGATGAATATTTAAGAGAAGATAATGTTGATGTAGTACAGTTTTGGGAAGAATTCTTGAGTAGATTATCACGAGCCGAAAGGCATATTCTGAGGTAAGGAATGACCTCTAATCAGATTTGCATTGTATGTGTAGTAATGTATCTTTGGGTTAAACGTTATAACAGAAGACGGTCGTGGTGTTTCCTGGCTTCAGATGGTGTTGTGGTGGTGTTTTGTGGGTCAAGATGGTGTTGTGGTGGCTTCAGATGGTGTTGTGGTGGTGTTTTGTGGGTCAAGATGGTGTTGTGGTGGTGGTGGTGGTGATGTTTTGTGGATCAAGATGGTGTTGTGATGGTGTTTTGTGGGTCAAGGTGGTGTTGTGGTGGTGGTGGTGTTTTGTGGGTCAACATGGTGTTGTGTGGTTTTGTGGGTCAAGCTGGTGATGTGGTGGTGGTGGTGTTTTTGTGGGTCAAGCTGGTGATGTGGTGGTGGTGGTGTATTGTGGGTCAAGATGGTGTTGTGGTGGTGGTGGTGTTTTGTGGGTCAGATGGTGTTGTGGTGGTGGTGTCTTGTGGGTCAAGATAATTGTTGTGGTGGTGGTGTCTTGTGGGTCAAGTTGTGTTGTGGTGGTGTTTTGTGGTCAAGATGGTGTTGTGGTGGTGGTGTCTTGTGGGTCAAGTTGGTGTTGTGGTGGTGTTTTGTGGGTCAAGATGGTGTTGTGGTGGTGGTGGTGTCTTGTGGGTCAAGATGGTGTTGTGGTGGTGGTGTCTTTGTGGGTCAAGTTGGTGTTGTGGTGGTGGTGGTGTTTTGTGGGTGAAGGTGGTGTTGTGGTGGTGGTGCTGTTTTGTGGGTCAAGACGGTGGGGATGTTGTGGTGGTGGTGCCGTTTTGTGGGTCAAGATGGTGTTGTGGTGGTGGTGCCGTTTTGTGGGTCAAGATGGTGTTGTGGTGGTGGTGCCGTTTTGTGGGTCAAGACGGTGGTGTTGTGGTGGTGCTGTTTTGTGGGTCAAGATGGTGTTGTGGTGGTGGTGCCGTTTTGTGGGTCAAGACGGTGGTGTTGTGTTGGTGTTTATGGGTCAAGATGGTGTTGTGGTGGTGGTGCCGTTTGTGGGTCAAGATGGTGTTGTGTGGTGGTTTGTGGTCTTTTTGGTTGGTCAGATGGTGTTGTTGAGGTTTTGTGGGTGTTGACTCTATTTGTTCGACTTATCGCTCGTATTTGGTGGCTGTGGAGGAGTTAATGTCTTAGAGAGGATATAAATGCTTTACTTATGAGCCAAACTGCTGGTCTCTGTAAGCCAATTTGCTCGTTTTTGGAGGGGCCAAATTATTGGTGTTTGAGAACTAAAACATTGATCGTGTAACCAAATTGTTAGTCTTTGTGATTGAACTAGAATGGCAATTTTGTCAGGTTAAATGCTAATCATTCAGATCTTAAAGACTCAGAGGTGAAAAGATTCGATGCTGAAGACACAAATTGGTGGTCTATGAGTGCTGGGTTATTGAGATATGAAACTTGCATCACTGGTTCTTCAAAGGACCAAACAGGTGAACCACTACGACAAAACGCTGGTCTCAGGAGAACTAAATTGGGGGTCGTGGGAGGACCAATTACCGGTCTGGCGAGGCCAATTCACTGGTCCTTTAGAACTGTAACTTTTTCTTTTTTTCTTTTCGTATTCAAATTTTCTCGCTTGGGAGATTCGACTGCTGATGCTAAACCAATTCACCCCGAAACCAACAATTTTGTATGTAGTGGCCACGGTAGTGTTCAGCCAGGCGATTGATGGCGCCCAGGCTGAATACCTGTCGTGTGACGAAATATGTAGTTATTTTAACGGGGAAAAAACCGGCACGCAGGGGAAAAAAATGAGAGCGTCGAGAGGGTCACACACCCTCCAAACCGAAAAGAGTGACGACGGTGAGGGTAAATTGCGTGTAGCGGGACGAAAATCAAACAATTTGGGAAAACTGTAACATAAAGGAAGTGAGACGAAATCTTTAACAATTTAGGGGAAGGGAGCAGTGTCATAAATGGGGAATAGTGTTGAGAGTGTCGCTATTTACTTCCTGGATACATACTGTACATGATGATAACGTGTTCCTGGTTTATTTTGAAGACGAGGTTATCATGTTGCTGCGCCTGATTAGAAGAGTCTCTCTCTCTCTCTCTCTCTCTCTCTCTCTCTCTCGTGGCTGTGTATACAAGTGGGTCACTTAAACAAAAGTGCTCCGTGTAGTGGATGAAATAAATCACAATCTCTCTCTGTCTCCTCCTCCTTTTCCTTCTTCTCTTCCTCCTTCTCCCTCTTCCTTCTCCTCCTTCTCCTCCTCTTCCTCTTCAATTTTCATCTCTTCCTTTTTCTCCTCTTCTTTCTTCCCCTCTTCCCCTTCCACCACCAATCCTTTATTTTTGTCTCAGCATCTTTTATTCTCTTTCCAATTCTCCTTTTACATCAACATTCTTTCTTTTCCTCTTCCTTGGCATTATCCTGTTTCTCCATTTTCCCATTTCATCAAGACAAGTTGAAGCTCTCCACTTCGCTTGTCTTCTTCTTCCCATTTTTGTCTGGCTCCGCCCTTCTGCCCTCTACCACTCTTCTGCACCCTCCCTCTCCTACCATTATCACGCCTTTCCTTATCAAGCTTTTATCATTCCTCGCCTCTTTCGCCTCCTCCTCCTCCTCCTCTTCTTCCTCCTCATCGCCTGTCATATTACATCCTATCCTAGCTATCCTCTTCCTTTCCTTCTCCTACCATTATCACGTCTTTCTCTATCCCAACCTTTACCTCCCTCCTCTTCTTCTTCCTCATCACCTATCCTAACTATTCTTTTCCTTTTTCTATCATCTCTTCACTTCCATCTCCATTCTTCTCCTGCTTCGTCTCTCCTTGTTTACAATTCTCTCATTAATCGTCTCTTTCCAGCACTCGGTAGTTTACAAAAGAGCTGGG